ACATAGGGCAAGTTATCCAGTCCTTGTCGGATAAAACAGACTGATCAATATCCTAAAACTATAGAAATGCTTTAGTTATCAAACATTAACCTTATAGGTGGTCCAGTGTTCTATCCATTTCTAATTCGTTCATATATCTAAAAACTGCTAATGTGTTATCGTCCGATATTTTCTCTAATATAAAGCGTATTGTTGTATTAATGATTTAAGCTAGTATTTTATCTGTAATATATCAAATAATCATCACTGCGATTTTTTTATAAATTTAAAAATGATACACCTATTATATAGGGAATTTACAATGCATTATTTGCATTTTCAGTTATAAGGAATTTTACCATTACAATTTTTTAAGCAATCATAAGTTATTGCGAATGTTCAGCAAATACAATATAAACATTCAGTAGCATACATTTTTACCTGGCCAAACAACAAATAATACCCCCGTCAACGAATAAAATTGATGGGTAGAGAGAAGTGGCAAATGTGAGAATATATTTAAGAGAATTCTAATTGGAAAAAGGTTTCTGTTTTCAAGTGTTGAACGTTTGTTTTATGTAGGTATCACAACCGCATTATAGATCCTGTAATAAAATAGTTGTAAAGAGATATCGACGTTTAACATCTGCGTTTATGATACTTGCATTTATTATACGTTACTTACAAAATGCAATCAGCTGTTACCTTATTGGAATACTTGTTAAATAATAAATCACATTCACTGTTATTCTTGTAATAGTCTCATATAGGACGAAGCTTGAATTGTATCATATAATAACGCATTTTATCTTACTCTATTTCAAAATATAACCAATGCATACTATTGACATTCGGCAGCGCAGTTGCTTAACGTCTTAATTCTGCAGGCTGTTTTTAATCAGCATATGATTTATGAAGAGGAAAATCTGTTAGAAAGCATACTTTTACTCTGAATAAATAAATACTGACTGTACAGAACAGAAACGTTATGTAACCGATTCGGAGTGAAAATAACAAAATTGTTTTATTATTTTTTATGTAAACTGTTTACTTATAGTAATCAATAATCGTTATCGTTAAAGTTATGCGATTTTGATTTAAATAGAAAGTTTAACAGGTTATCTGCAGCGATTGAATGGATAATACTGTAAATTTGTCTGCATGAAGTGTTGTATAGATTCAGGAAGTAATGTGATGGCAATTGTACCAAGGGAACTATTTTGTAAAGACGAAAGTAACTAAGATAATTTAATCATTCCCATCAAATTGTTGAAAAGGGGAACTGAGACTTAAAACGATTCTTAGGTGGTAGTTAAATATTCATTCAATGCAAGGTGATCGTTTATGAGCACGTGCTTTTTGTTAATGTGCCTGCATCATATAGACTTGAAAGTTGTGTTTACTCATATCGTGCGAATTTTTGGATCGGTTTGCGTTTGATATTCGATAGTTGGTAAGTACAGAATACATTATGCACTTGAATTATTTATGAACTGATCCTTAAAGTACATTAACATACAGTCGACAATAAAATGTTTTGTTAGTCTGCACTGAATATAGTATGAATGGAAAGTCTATTTGACAGTGTATATCGTCTAAACCATATACAGTTTATCGGCATGCGGCATTGATGATTTTTTTAGAGTTTGACGGTATGTCGGCATTGATGTTTTATATTGATTTTCGGTATGTCGGCATTGATATATTATGTATTTTGACGGTATATGATACATATATATTTTTACAGTTTTACATTATGTCAGCATTGATGTTTTATGTAGTTTGACGGTATGTCAGCATTGATGTTTTATGTAGTTTGACGGCATATCGGCTTTGATGTTTTATATAGTTTAACGGCATATCGGCTTTGATGTTTTATATAGTTTAACGGCAAGTCGGCATTGATGTTTTATGTAGTTTGACGGTATGTCAGCATTGATGTTTTATGTAGTTTGACGGCATGTCGGCATTGATGTTTTATATAGTTTAACGGCATGTCGGAATTGATGATTTTTTATAGTTTGACTTTATGTAGGCATTGATGTTTTATATTGATTTTCGGTATGTCGGCATTGAAATATATATATTTTAAAGTATGTCGGCATTGATGTATTATAATGGCGGCATTGATGTTTAATATAGTTTTGCGGTAATAATTATAATTTCCAACTTATTTTTTCAAAAGTATATGAAAATTCGTCGCTGATGTTTTTTTTTGTGTGGAAATGTTTACAAATCGACGCACAAGTAGCTACAAGGAAGTCAATATATACCCCCCCCCCTCCAAAAAAAGAAAGAAATAGTCTACTCTATATCAATTTCAGATAATATTGTTAAAACTGTCACATAACTTCTGCATGTAAACATTTCAGCTATTGGTTATTTTATCATTTTACTGACTACAACTGTGATTAGAGCTCCTCTTTATTGTCTTTTTTCTAAAAACATAAATATCATTAATCATGGAGCGTACAAGTTCACTATGAAAAACATTAAAAATTACAAAAAGTGCAGGAAAGTATTTTTACCTGGCATAAATTCAGACAAATTAAATAGCTATTTTTTTTCATATAAAATCTGCTTTATGTGTGCGTTTTTTTTTCTTTCTTTTTTTATATGTAGTTAAATGCTATGGTACGAAAATTCTCTTCTTTTACATTTTTTAACTTATTGAATTGACAGTTATATTAAATCTTACACTTTGTGTCAAGTGTTGTTATTGTCTTGTTTTAAAGTACTGTTCGAAAAGAATTTGATATCTGTACCCACTATATACATTATGACACTCCGATGATTTCACCACTCCTTAATTAAGTGGACATGACTTATATTGTTTGTCACGTATGTTTGAAAACATCACGCAAATTTCTTTTTTAATTTATAGCTATGTTAATGGAGACTTGGTGATAAAAATGAAAAGAGGAAATTATTCCACATCAATAACAACATTTTAAAAGAGAAAAAATCCAGTTATCCAAATTTCTCTATTAATACCGAAATGGTAACAATTGTACTTTCACACAAATACAATATCAACAACGAAAGATTTTGTAAGCATTAAACAAATGTTTATTTTATAATAAGAAGAAGAAAAATAAATAGCCCATATATATATATATAATGTGTGGATTAATACAATACCAGATCCTCTTTGCATTGTGCATTATCATCTAACTTGTTTAATACATAGAGTATCTCATACGGGTTACAATACAATATATTTTTATCAAAGGTGACGAATGACAAAAAAATCCTCTAAGTTCCTTGTAAAACGGTTAAACAAGGAAGAAGTGATATTACAATTAATGCGGTAAATACAAAGGGATAGTGGGAACATTTCAAATTCACGAATTTCAGATTTTTATCTTCGTGATATCGGGTTTTCAACATACAAAATTCACGAATTCGCAATTTCAGCTTCATGAATTTACGAACTCAACTTCACGAATTAACGATTTTAACTTCAAGAATTCACGAAGTTGAATTCGCGAGGTTTTGAAATCGTGAATCGTCAATTCACGAAGATCATATTTGGATTTCCGAAGATGAAATGGGGAATTTGTGAAATTGAAATATACCCACCGATGTTTCGTAGATTAGTCTCAGAATTTATTCATTTCATTATAAAACAGCAACACTGCTATATAGATAATTTATAAACCAACAATCATGTTTAATGAAGCTGTATGCCTGTAGCTTAGTAGAATTATTAATAACATTGATATCACAGAGTAGTTACCCTCTCCTTGGCAATCCTTAACGTTACTAAATTTATGTTCTTTTAATATTTATTTTAAAATGTCTGCCGTTATATGTATATATATTTATCTCATCTACTATCATTATGATATTTTCAAAAAAGAAATACAAATAGCTGAAGAATAAATCAGGCGTATAGATTCAAAGAAAAGTTTAAAATTATTATATCACGTTTAAAGTTTTTCTTCTGAAATTTAGAAACTTTAAGATATAACGATAACGCAGTAAATCAAAATAACTCTCCTGTTTAACTTGTTCGGATATTCGGTATTTTCTTGCCCTGTACGGGAGAGATATACTTTCTGTATGTTTGCGAATACTGAAATTGGAAAAATAGGGTGGAATCGAATTCTCGTATTTTGTTTATATAGGTATCAAAACGCAGTGTGCTTTAATGATAAGGAATGCCGCTATGTTTATCTTCGTGAGTTAGGAAATAACTCCCGCTGTTTTCACTTTGCTTGTTATAAATTGTTAGATTAAAGAGTTTGAATCAAGGTATCATTATAATCCAATTAGTGGAGGTGTAACAACCTTATAATGTGTGCTGTTAAAAAAACTAAAATGTGGTTGGAGTTTTGTGAGTTTTTCTCTCTCTTTGTATTCTTTTATTAGATATTATTATAATGATACGTGCAACAATTTTCTAAATTGAAAATATTTTTTTTTTATGATAATAATAATAATAATAATAATAATAATAATAATAATTTTAATGATTTTAATGATAATGATAATTAACAATGTAAGGAATGACATGTTTCCGACATATGCTTTTAAGATCTTTATGCCTGCCTTTTTATTTGCATCTTGGACAAAAAAAATAATAGTTTTGGTCTCAGTTTGCATATAGTTAGTTAGTGAGTTTTGTTGTTGTTTATTCTAATTATTATTATTATTATTATTATTATTATTATAATCATCATCATGATTATTATTCTTATTCTTATTATTATTACTGTTATTATTATTATTATGATATTATTATTATTATTGAGAAAAGAAGTTAACTTAGACTATAATTCAAAATCGGGTAAATACACAAAATCATACATGCATATCTGTTCCACTATAATGTGGAACGTAAGTAAATATTACATATAAGTATGTGAAAAAAGTTAAAGTATAAAGCTTTTATAGCATGACATAATTTAATACAGTTACATAATTGTGAATTTAGTATAAACGGTGAATTTGCTTATTGCTTAATCATATATATTAACAAGCTCATCACAAGTTTATTCAATGTTATCTTTCAGGTAGACGTAGTGTATTTACAACAGCAAAATGGGATGAAAATGACGGGCTATATAGCTGTGTTGATTTCATAAAAATATTAAAAGGAAGTTAATAAATGAAAAGGTGTTCTCGTTTGTGGATTTTTGTATATAAACGTGTGACTTCAACCAAAAGGATGTACAAGCTGAAAGGATGTAATGTAATTCACATATACCATTCACATATATACACAAGTGTTAAAAGGGACTTTTCAGAGTGTTTCAAAGTTCTATTTAAATATCTAAGTGCAAAGAAGTTAAACATTTTATGAAGCAATGTATGACAATGTTAGGCACTATCTGGCGAGTGTGTTTATGTTATGTTTGATGAAGAAGTATATTTGCCTGCAGCATTTAGCGAATGTGCCCGTGTTCATCCACTGTAAACAAACGGTAAGATCTGTTTTTCTTTTTTCTCCTGTTTTAATTAAGATATCTGTGAGAAATTATTACTAGAACAATCATTTTGCATATATATTTTGTAAACTTCAACTGATTTCCCGCTCTATAGTCTTAATGTAATGAATGTTTTAATATAAATATTACTTTTATTAATTATTTTATTGGCCCAAGTTACTCTGGAGTCTTTGGATATCAAGTACTAATTTATAACTGCTGTAGTTACTGTATTGTTTTAAATGTTTTCAGTACAAAGTAACGTAATGTGCATATGATATCCACAATGTTTCGTTATTCATTCAATTTGTAAACAGAATAATTATCATATTATTATATAACTATAGATGTGTTAACTTTTATCAGCTGAAATAACTACGATATTTTATACTTAAGTGTATATCTTAATTATATTTTGGAATTCTATAAAATAAATTTGTTTGTTTTTTCTTTGTATTTAAATGAGATATATAACCAGTAACGAACGTTAAAGTTTTACTTAATATAAAGTTTTTAGAAAATCTAAACTTAATTGAAATACGATAAAGGAAGAAGGAAGTTTAAAACGCTGGTAGATATATAGGTGATCATTTGTTCCGCTCGAACGCTTACGGTAAGGTTATTTACACTGGGTTATCTTATTTTCCAGAAGCTGAATATTTAAAAAAGTGCGAATTTTATTTTTAAAACAAATAAAAACAGCACGATTGCTTAACTTTCGTTGAATATTGTATTCCATTCTATCTTTATATGGAAGGTCGGTAGGTTACAGGTTATTAAATTCCTCATATGTTCTCCATTCCTTTAAAAGTTTAATAAAGGAAATAACTGGACAATATTCAAACGCCGAAAGATATAATAGTTAAAGTATTTGCTCTTAAATCGGATTCAAATGAATTTTTATATTGTTCCGTTTTCTTACTTCGCGGGCACCTGTTTCACAATTATGTTTCAAACAAGGCGTTTCTGTCTTCAGAGTATACTTCAAAGCGTTGCGTAATTTTACATCTTTTATGAGGCGTAGTTTATTACATTAAACCAAAGAGCTTTCTTATATATACAAGAGTAATAAAATAAATATAAATGACGCGTGCTACTTTATTCTCCAAATTATTGTATTTATACAGCTTTCCGGTTAAACTGTTATCTCAAAGGTTCAGAGGGAGGTAAAGGATGTGTGTTTACATTACTGATTGAACCAATGTGATCACATCGTTTGATTTTCTTTTTTGATCATTTTGTAAGTGCTAAGGTAGCCTTGGTAACTTATCAAAACACGTCCAACAGATTTGCATAATTATACAAACTCTGCATTGAATGTTTATAAAAATATTGAACATTTTACTGAGTGTTTGCTACTAAATAAATAAAAACAAACTTTATTTATAATACACTTGCAACCCCCCCCCCCCCTCCCTGCCTAATTCCCCTATGTTTGTGATTATTCAATTCCTTATGTTATCGTTTATGTTCATATTGTAATGGTTAAGAATATAGCCATAACAGTGGCTTAGTAAATGTGAACAGTTTATACCAATCGTGTTAAAACTAATAAAGAGTCGAATTGTGTAAAATTGTAATGCTACATAAAAAGGCAAGTTGAAGTAGACAACATATGCATGTATATTGTTTTATAAGCTAGAATGACTGTCAACTGAATTAAAACCGATTGTCCTGGGTTCAAACACCAACTTTTCTTTTAACATGCCAGATACCCTTTAAACAGAAAACGTGTTATATTTCAATTATGGTAATATAGGTATTCTTTGGCTAAATAAAGCACATTGAAAAAAATATGGTGTATGGTAATTATTTTAAAAATCTTATAAAATCAAAACTTCACATCAAAGTGTTTCATATTTTACTAGGTCAACCTCACATTTGAAATCGCCCTTTAATCAAATAGATTTTAACGTGTTTCGAAGCCGAAAAAAATGAAAGTTGATAAAGTGGTGTAACATTAAAAAGTTGATAGAGTGGTGTAACATTTTTTATACATTTATCTTACAATTTGTTTAGAAAAACATATAAATCGACATTGAACTTTGTCGAAAACAATACTGATTCTATTTGACTCGTCCCAGTTGCTTAACCTTCATCGGCTTGATCCTCGTCAAAAATATTAGTTTAATATCTGTGTACTCGTTCAATAGAATACAGTATTGAACTCAACAATATATACTGACCTCATTGTACCTATATATTGGTTCATTTCATTCTAACAAATGAAGAACATACTATTTCTTTATTCAGGCGACTGACATATTGAACGCGACTCCACAGATTATCATTCCTCAGGAAACAAATGGTAAGATAATCTTTTAGGTAGCTTCTATTTTCATCTAAAGATAAAAAATTGTTGTGATCTGTTTAAGGTTGAAATTGTGAAATATCAATGAATTGTTTTATCTATAAAAGAAGGTAAACATCTCTTTGTTGTTAATATAAACAAGATGGTGGGTTGTGCCGTTCTGATTGACCGTTACTTGGAGGATGATATGATTTTGTGTGTAATGAAATTAAAAGGCATTAGTTAACATTATTTATTTTTGACCTCACATATTAACGTTAGCTCGGCTTTAATGTGTCAAACGCTTCCTGGATCTAATCAATACTGAAGTCATATATGGGAACATGGCCGACACTTCTTAAAATCCCTTCTGAGGAGTGCTCGTCTACAGAAGACTCACGGAAGGGCAAAGTCAAATCTATCTCAATAACTATGGATGGTTGATTAACCTGTCGCGTGTCCCTTAGGATAGTGGCGCTAAAAGGGGTGTTTACTGGAAACACTATCTTGAAAAAAATGTTAACTCCTTGCAACAAAAATATTAGGTATTAGGCATGGCGCGGATATTCGGGGCCCTGTGGGATCTTTACGGCGGCCTTCATGAATAAAGTCAAAGCCTTGTTGGTTCATGCTAATGCTTCGATGGTTAAGAGGAAAGCACCTTAACCACATGCACATGCCTTTAGAGGATAAACTTATGGTGGCGTATAGTACATATGTATTTCCTACAGTAAGAAAATGCTTACTATTGAAATATAGATAAAACTCTAGTTTTATACAATTTCAGACACGGAAGTTAACCTGTCAAATTTGGTAGCTGACAAACAACTGATGCTCGATCTTTGTCCCGATAGAAGATTCCTTAAAATTAGTTGGATATCAAATAAAATACAATGTAAGCGATATGTCGTGTTGTATACAAATAATTATGATTCCGTCTTTCTTTACAGCAGCTCAAATTATGTTTTTATAATCGTAAAATAAAGGGTTTAAAGCTATATTTCTGCTGTCAGTAGTTAGATTATTTTCAAAATATGTGTGAATGTTTCTTTAAAAGCAAATGTCACATAAACGAAATCGTTGGTTGCTTAACGGTATAAAACACTTGTTAATATAGCAGCATAATATTTTATTTTCCGATCAACTAACTTTGTAAGCATAGTATATTCATGTGTGTTAAGTATCAGCGGTATTATATGTTGAAACTATGTTGAGAGTCGGGTATTAGATAATGGAAATAAAATGATTTACTATTTATAAATGTCATGATATTATGTATATTTCGTGTAAACTAATTGTACCTTTTAAATTCATATTTTAATTTGAGGACTTAGTTATATGATGATATATGTGTGTAGACTTTATTCCTGGTATATGAACTGTATACTTTCCACAGTGTTATCAAGCCAGCGTACGGTCTACATGTAAATAGTGGATGCACCTTTATTTTAAGATAACTAATTTAACCATTACATAAGTCATGATCCCACATCTTGCTGAACGATATAATCGTTAAGTTTATTCTTATTTATGTTAGTTCGTTTGTGTTGGAATATAATACTTTCTTCCTGGAACAAACCAGTACTAAGCAATGAATGTAAAGTTTTTTGCTCAAGGAAACAACGACTTGCCCTTGACCGGTTTTTAACACAATTTGCCAGGAAGTCTTAGATTATAAGTTTGAAGCGTTAACCACTCGGACTTGCCACCTTTAATTTATAATAATAGGACTGTCTTTTTACACATTTCATTTATCAAATTAATGGTTTAATTGCTGGTGAAGAATAATCTAACGAACTGATAAATTTTGTATGTGATTTGAAATGTATTATAAGTGTGTCTATCTTTTTCATAGAACCCACGATAAAAAACACGTTATACATTATTCCGTGATTTCCATATTACATATTACATATTATCAAGTGACTTATAAGAAACAGTTTTACTTGCATACATTAAGAGTTGCACATTAACAATGCTATTTTATGTAGATTTTATTTATTCAGGGAAAGAAACCAGACTCTGTTATGAGATGCTCACATTACAAGATGAGATTCTAATGGGACCAGTCTGCTTTAATTTGCACGTGCATGAGTTAAATCTCTCATCAGCAATGGTGATTACTTTGATTTATTGTCTATCTTCCTATCCTAATCTCCTGCTTTAATCGAAATAGATATGTACGTGAAGTGTCATCTTTCTTCAATTTGATGTCTGAAAAACATTTTTAAGAAAGATTTGTACTTTCATATATCAAATCTCATTGACAAAAGTAATGTATCTATATGGCCGAATAAAGGGTACTCATTTCACAGATGACGTCACAAAGTGTCATGTTTCTTACAAATTAGCAAAGTGATGCATATTTGAACAGTGGTAAAATATGTGCATGCTTTAGCATAGCTTAAAGGTTATACCACATAGGTTCAAGGTTAACAAAGGAAATGTTAGTTCAGAGAATTGATTGACATAATTCCAAAGATTTGACCAACAAATTTTAATTCGATAAAAAACAACTTTGTAGATACATACTTAACCAAAGACTGTTAGTTTATGATTGACATAATTATGATGTCAAGTACCCCAAAACTGTGAGATCCGTATTTTACGGTGGATATCTACTGATTATACAAATGTATACTTTGACTTTATTTAAATGTACCTAAAATGGAGGAATAATTTGTTTGTGAAATGTTACACATTTCAAAACTGTCATGAATATGTTTATCTTTGTTTATGATTTTAGATTTCTTTATGAAGATATGATTTATTGCACAATGTTCAATTATTCAATGCTATAACTTAAAGGTAAAGATGTTTAAATGAAAATCGATCTAATTTTCTTTCGTACAAGCGTGGATAAAGTAATTTATAAGTTTCAGAAGAAGCCATTTTCAGTGTTTGTTTATACTCATTTATGTCACAGGGTGAGAAAAATGTGCAGCCTGACCGGGACTCGAAACCGGGACCTTCGGAATAACGTCCCGCGGCTTTATCAACTGAGCTATCCGGCCGCTTACACATCTTCTCCCCCAATAAGCGAACAGTTCTGAACCGTGACATACTCCCCTGCTATATTGAAATTCGTCCTCGAGTTTCACAGAGTTACAGAATAATGTTAATTAAACTCTGGGCTATTTGCAGTCACGGTCCCCCTTTGGGCGCCAAAATGTCACAGGGTGAGAAAAATGTACAGTCTGACATGGACTCAAACCCGGGACATTCGGATTACCGTTCCGCGGCTTATCCGGCCGCTTACACATCTTCTCCCCTAATAAGTGAACAGTTCTGAACCATGACATTTATATTTTTGCTTTCTTATTAAACATTAGAAAATTGCTGCATGTATTTCAACATTTCTTATGAACACAGTGGTTATAATATATAGATATCTATTATATATTGTTAATGATTGACTACACGTATACATATGTACAAATGTACTTACTGAAACAGTATTACTTATAAATTTGTTAGAATACGTGTAACGCATAATATGTACTATTGATTATATTATATTCCACAGAATTGTTGGTTTCCAATGAAACATATCGACAAACGACCGAATATCAAGGCATGGGTTTATCAATCATCTACAAGCGTGCAATTAGGCTACTCTGGAAGTCTACATATCAGTGATTTGGGTGTGTATATATATATCTATAATTAAGGTATTACATTTTTCTGTAGGCATCCGATAAAGAAGTTTACAGAAAAAGGGTCACCTTGTTTAAGTATTCTCAACTAGAAATCCACGTTCAATCCTAGAATTTTTTATTTTCAAATTCAGATGTATAAACAAATCGATACATCTAGTAGATAAACTTACTGGGTATATAAATTGTGTCGGGAATATAAACGTAAAAATCATCTGTTTGATACACTATAGATTTATAGAACTATTGCAATATTTGAGGTGTATTGCAATATTTATGACAGCACATTGCAATGTTTACAGTAATATTTAAGATTGATAGTATTACTGCTATATTTAAGGTAACATTGTAATACTTGAAGCAGCGTTGCAATTTTTTAGATAACAGTACTAAATTGACAAAATTGTAATATGTTTACTTTATTATTGTAATATTAATCATGGTAATATTGCAATATTCGTGATATTTCATCTTTACCAGATCCTGTTCACAGTTGTAAGGATACATGTGAAGTGGTACCTATGCAAATTAGTTCTCAAATTGATTGTAAAGATATGGCTTCAATATTTTACGATACGTCAACAATTGTGAAACATCTGTCTTTCCATGGCGTTGTTAATCCATCATGCGACGAAAATATCATCCAGATTTCTAGACAGGTAAACGCTTTATATTAAGTATGAGGTTTTCCCCTGATAATTGATTTTGTTATGGAATTTGCTGTACAATCACATGATTGTACACTTATATATAAATCTGTTTAAGCCGGTGCTAGGGGCGTGGACGATAATACCGTCCATAACGTGCTCACTATAACCGGGCATGAAACATATTTTTTTTTTAATTTTGCCGTTTTTGGACTTTCTATGGAGATTCTTATTTTCTCTATTTTATGTGTACTATTCTTCAGTAATTTTATTGTCATTTCTTTCATTGGCAAGTATAGCTGAATTGACACTATTTTTCAAAAGATTGACTTTTGAAATGATGATTGATCAATAGTTGATATTGAAAAATGCTTTGTATAAAATATTAATCTGCCTAAAAAATAAACGAAGATTGTCCGACAAATAAAGGTAAAATGCAAATTCCAGTGGATATTTACAGAAATGCCTTAGCCCTTGTACAATATGAGTTATTTAAAATTCAAGCGCAGTAAGTTATAAAATAGAAAGGAAAAATGCCAAAATGTTGACATTCACCTGTACACTTACTTTATACTCTTTGGTGGGCATAATGTAACTTTAACAAATATGATGTCGGTTTTTACGACGACTGTGCTTTGTCTTGTACCCTGTTCTGCTTTTATTTAGGGCCCCCGCTTGTCTCCTTACCGGTGGTCCTCTGAAACTGGGTTGTGTGGAGGATGCGTTCATTGATCGCTACCCTTCCTTGTTGAGCTTGTTTTGTCATATTTACTTAGTGAAATACTTTATTTTTGTTAATCTTAAAAGTCTTATGCTTTTAAATTGTGAATGCATAGTTTAACGCGTTATTGTAGACTTTTTTTTATTTTGTAATGCTTGTTACTTTATGAAAAAGGAGTTTCATATTTGCTACTTATGTTTCAGACAGATACACGACTTGAGTACCACCTGAATTGTGAATACAGTGGTATAGGGCACATAAAGGTCAGTTATACTTTTTAAGAATAACATTTTAAGCTCTCCAATCAGTATATACTCTACATACTTTTATCTGCTCATCTAGTTTTTTTACGGATTGCAAATCGTTCTATTTCGGAGTAAGTACTCCGTACTCTCCCCAGAAAAAAAAGACAAAAAAGACAAACAAGCAAACAAAAGCCATGGAGGGCCATCGGATGTCTCCTGCTCTTGTACAGGTCACACGGTGAAGTTTATGTATTCTTAAATAACATTTTGACTTAAATAAACACTTAACATAATATTCTGGTTCTTACCTATTACATTTGTCTCTAGATGATATTTGTAGAATACAAAATTAAATGCGTTATAAATAAGCGAATAAAAATGTGCATTTCATAACTGCATGCTTGCAGTCTTATCGGAGATTCTTTACAAAGTCCTTTTTAGCTTTCCCCTTTCATATGAATAAGCTAGTAAATTCAAAAGGAAACACTCGTTACGTTGCGTGTTGTTTATATATCGTGCATTTTGTGTTGAGTTCGAAAGTAATTATTAAGAAAATGAAATTATACTACAATTGTACTGACATCAATCATCCCACGCAAAAATGACACATGGCCTGCTCAGTAGTTATCACATACAGCAGTCATCACACACAATTTCACATGGATTGCTAAATAATATCTTTTGTCGGCAAACGTGCATTAAAAATATATTCTGATTTCACAAAAAACAGAGAAACACAAAGACTATATGCCTATTCAAGAAATGAAAGAATCATTTTCCAGATGTCAGAATGTTTGCATTTTCACATTTTTTATTATCGTTATCTTCGTTTTATTTTAGTGTTAAAATTGATTATTATGTAACTTATTTTCTAGGTGCTCTACAGTGTTCAAGATAAATATTGCCTGAAGTACCAGCAAGTTAGAGTTAATTGTTCAAAAGGCAAGATAATTCAATACGTTTCCTTATAAATAATGTAAATTTGTTAAAGAAGTATTCATTTTTAATTAAAAAAGCTAAGCATACTATTAGAAAGCTGAACTTAATAAGCCATTATTCTGTTTATCTTTTTATATTTTGCTATTTCGAACCACGTAACATTCTATTACTTCTTTCGCTTTCTTGCAATGAGTAAAGTTATAGTGATATAGTACTTTGTATTGATGTCAATCTAACGTTATTTAACATTATGTAACAATTATGGAAAAGTATGTCAAATGTCAAACTTGTTCACATTCTGGGCTATTTCCGGCTAAACACATTTACGTTCCTTCTTAGGCACACTTTGAAACTTACCCTTTAAGGAAATGTTAGCTTAAGCTTGTTATGAGTCTTTTACTTTGTTATCTTCAATTGTTTCAGGAAACTCTAGTAATATACCAACAGTTCCTGTGGATCATGGAAATATACATTCGTTTGGGACATTTGTGATATTTGGAATAATTTGTGTTGTCGTAATAGCGGCTATATTCTTCAGTATTATATTTGGTTAGTTATGTTTTGCTTTTAATTGATTACTAAAGTGTATGACAGGTTATCATATTTTGAAATATTCTAAAGATATTGAAGATATCTGGACAAAAAAAAAATTTGTTATGTATTTTAATGCCTTTGCCATAAAATTTTTACTTATTTGTTCTAACAAATGCGCCGTCCTGAAGAAAATGCTAAGTTAATTGTTAATAAAATATGTAGATTTTACTGTGTGGAATTATTTGTACCTGGTTTATTTTTTTTAGTTGTACAGTGGTTAATGTACTTACGTATCAAATACCGGAGATCTCAGCATGAAAGCAAAGAAGGTAAACTGTTTGAATGATTTTCAATTGTGCATTATACTATATAAATAAGGGCAAATCTGTAACCTTACACTATAAATATGGTGCTGACGAAACAGCTTATGTTCGGATCCAAAAAGAGGAAGGGGATTGGGGGCATTTTTCGGCTGTGCTTATGTGTGCGTTAATTTTTAAACATTCGTTTGAGTGGACTTTTTTTTCTTTTTCTTTTTTTTTTTGCTTCCTTTTTGCTTCTTTAACCTGCATACGTTCAAGAAGCTGTCAATTTGCTAAACATGTTTTTTTCCTTCTAATAGTGAATACTTATACTGCCGTCATATTGATCTCACATCTTACATGAAACAATGTAATGCTGTTTTAAAAGATTATCAACTCTTTGAGAATGAAATGTTTTTGTCAGTGTACTAATTACATTCCAAATTTAACTACATACCGAATCTGTAGGATGTTTCATCTAACAAAATTCAGGATTCAGGCAACTCAATTTTTTATCACATTTTATGTTATTATTCAGGCTTTACTAAAGTTATAATGCCTTTGCTTGAGAGATGATATGGTATATAAGGCTTAAGGAGCCTTAAAGTGAATTATGATCATGTTTGAATAGTAATGTATTTCAAAAGATTTTCTATTGTAATAGGAACTGGCCAATACATGGATAATGAAGAAATGTGTATTAAAGAAACATATATGAAAATACCTAAAGAATGAAAAAAACTGGCTCCACTCTTTAAAAGAAATTGCAGCAATTACCCGATACATTATAAAATGATAATTTTTGAAATTTTCATTAAGTTCACGTGATGCATTGATTATTTTGTCACATAAAATTGAACACCTTATAACAAAAATGTCAAGTCATTTTTTTGTTTATACCTGATTCACTGACAAAATTAAACATTTGGAATGGTCATGTTCTTTCTAAATGTCTTTTATGATATGTTATTATGATATTTAGAAGTCTCGGAATGCACAGTATAAAGGCGATGGCTGACAAAATCCCACTTAAAGACAAGGACGTTGAAGGTTTTGTTGTATTGATATTTCGTTAGCTGATCTAAAGTACAAATTGATCTAAATGTTTTTAGTGGTGTTAATGAATTGTAATTCAAAATTTTAAATGTGTTTTTTTTACCTGGCAACTTACTGGCAACAGAATAAGTAGACACAGATAACGAATATTTGAAAATCACAACCCGTAATTATAAAAAACCTCGCAAAGGTCTTCTTATATTTCACCAAATTTTACCAAAACAAAATTTAAAAAAACATTTTATAAAATATTTCTTATGTAATGACTTTAAATTGCTGTGACGATTTGCTTTTATTTCATAGATTGCCAAGTATTAACAAATGTCTTTCAAGTTTTCAAGTTTTGACGTCTTATCTGTGATACGCAGGCTTCATAACCTCTGATCCCCTTTTAAAATTCCATTTTATTTAGTTCCGCCCATTGTTTTCTCGTTTGGGGCACACGCTTTTTATTACTTGGGGACCATACGCCGCTTTTCATGGAATGGCACGGAAGTGTCACATTGAAGGTTCCATGATAACTGCCGTATGAACACATCTGCGGATGTTTTTAAATTCAAAATTTTACCATTTCATGTTTAAATGTTGAATTCTGCTTAAGCCGGTGCTAGGGGGCGTGGACGGTAACTTGCACTTTCCAGTACAGTCCATGAACAGGCTCAATCAAACCGAGCCTGCATCATTTTCAATTTTGCCGTGTTGGGCTTTCTTTAGGGATTCTGTATTTATCTATTTTATGCCTAGTTTATATACATGTATTTCAATTCAATTTTTATATGTCACTTGAAACATATTTCATCCGTTCCGTTTCAGAAAATACACAAAAGGATGAAAGGAGCAAACAAAAGGAATCATATTTGCCTAGAAAACTTTCAAACCGAGGATTGTGTTCAACATCGTTTTCAAATATACCGGAAAAAGGACGACGGGAACAAAAGCCAGTTGTTAGGTGTATCAGAAAAAAGTGTAACAATGGCGCTTCTGGAAGATACGAACCCATTTTATAAAAAAGAAAATATTATTTCTTCCCAAACCATACGATCACTTTACTCATGAGGCCACTAAAATACTGAAATATATCTTCGATAAAGAGGCTGGGATAACAAGTCAGTGTTGTTACGATCGGAGTATTCATAAACACTACATGACAAGTAACCGTGATAGATGGATAAATAATGTGTTAGGGGACCATGATAGAATATTGATATTTTTATGTTTTAAATCACTTAGTGCCCCACCAAATGAGGAAAAATATGAGCCAATGGTGGACGAAATACTTGACAATCTATTATTATCAAAGGTAGCCTCTACTAGACTATGCAAGATTGTTTTCTTATATTTTACTGAAAGTTCCAAAAATATACAGAAGAAACACCATGGAGACAATTTCCATATTCACGATACAAGCTCTTTTCAGAACTTTGTATGTGATGTTTTGAACTTCTGCGGGAGAAGTCAAGATCAATATTCAGATATGATATATAAAATATTGCACTGCCAGGCGTCTGGTCACTTTCTTAAATACATTGGATTGACGGGTAGTCCTCACTCGAAATAATGACAAACATTATCAGAAACATGAGATTAAATCAAAATTGTATTCGAATGTTTTCATTTTCTTGAAGCTTTAAATGCGCATGCATATAAATGCGTGAAAATGCTTTAAAACACTATTACTCCCGTCCGCAAGCAGTTTCCGAGCAAATCTTCCCTTGAATGTATGGACGATCTGTTTGTACACTAAGTAAATCTTGACAAAGAATATGGGAATTCGATCTTAGAACTTCAAGGTAGTTAAGCCATGCGACCGTAACTAAAGTGACAAATACCAATATCTGCAGTTTCGTCACAGTTGCATACATATCATGATTTTGTGTGTGAATGCAATCCATTTTTATGTTGACAAATCATTGGTTATGATTTTTTTCTCTTTCATATCTGTTTCGTTTTTATATAGATATACTGTTTCAAAAGGCACCTTTCTAATGGATAAAGTTGTACAATTTTTTTTAATTTCTACGTACTATACATAACTCTTTTTTGTTATATATTTAAAACATCTGTATTCATTGATAAAAAACGCCAGGCAGGTAAAGATTCGTTTCAAACAAGGAAGCACATTATGATAAATCTGCTCGTTCAGCAGAAAGGAAGTAACAAACAGAAGCAAACCAATAGACAGAACAGAAACTAGCACGAAACAGCAACAGACAAAACAAATAAAAAAAGAATATTTGAGCAGGAATGGTTTCAATATCAACTGCAGCTACTTTCTTTTAAAAATCGTTTCACTGTGGAACATCCATATTATCAATAGTATCAAATACAGAGTTGTCACTTGATAAATTATCTAATCGGTTATATTTCATCAAATAGTTGAAATCCTCGTACTAGTTTCTCCACATGTAACATAATAATCATCGCACAAGATTGTTGAATATTTTGTAAGAGACAAATGATAATTTGAATCTAAGTCTGAGATCGATTTTTAATAAAAAAATTAGCATACCCAAAGATCAAAATAGCGGTATCTGAAGTACAGAGTCTGCTTTTTTTAGTGCCCCTTGTCACAGACTTGCAGTGTTGGACAACCTCATATGATGATATCATTGGACTATGTCACTATCTGATAGATATGAGAATCCTAGCTAAAGAAGTTCATCACTCTTTATTCGTTTCTGTAGTGCATAGTCTTCCTCATCCATCATAAATATGCAATTGATAAGGTTTGCATTCCTGGATTGGAAATGATTCAAATGGAAGTTTATGAGCCATCATCTATGAACCCCTTAAAATAATGGCAGTCACTTGTTGGGAATTTCAAATTTTGTAACATGAATGTGGTGTTAACGGTGTAATATCTGCAAAATGGCCTCCAAACAGCAACAACCTATTTAAAACAATTTGCATCTTTCATAAAGATAAACTTCATTATAAAATAAATATTTTTAGAGCAACAACCTTAAACAAGAAAAAGAAAAAAACGTTTAAGAATTAATGTTGCTCTGCGGAAGAAATAACTACAGATTTTAAGTGCTAGACTGTAAAATACTGTAATCATAAGTAAAACAGTGAAGTTTAATAAAAGCAATACTCATATTTTTGTAGTTCCTATATCACGTGAGGCAAAGACTGTCTGACTATATACATCGAGATCTTGAAGTTTGTCAACATGAACATTGATTACTCTTCCGCAAATTCTTAAAATGAAAAGCAGTTACTATTCTTCTGTCCGCCATCTTTCAACGTTTGCTTTGTAACGGCTCGTTCGATTTACCGTTTTTATAACGAATATGTACTGACATTCACGAACAGACACCACCGTGACGCACGTTATAGAGCTTATCGCTCTTAACTTGTTGCATTTTCTGGATAGGGAATATTACGAGTAATGTTGGATGTGTGTCCGAATGAGTTCCAATTTCTTGAGGTAAGCTTCAAGAGATACGCAGGCTTCATAACCTCAGATCCCCTTTCAAAATTCCATTTTATTTAGTTCCGCCCATTGTTTTCTCGTTTAGGGCACACGCATTTTTTTACTTGGGGACCATATGCCGCTTTTCATGGAATGGCACTACCGTGTCACATTGAAGGTTCCATGATAACCGCCATATGAACACATCTGCGGATGTTTCAAAATTCTAAATTTTACCAGTTCATGTTAAATGTTGAATTCTGCTTAAGCCGGTGCTAGGGGGTGTGGACGGTAACTTGCACTTTCCAGTACCGTCCATGAACAGGCTCAATCAAACCGAGCCTGCAACATTTTCAATTTTGCCGTGTTGGGCTTTCTTTAGGGATTCTGTATTTATCTATTTTATGTTCAAATGGGCAGGTATTATCATTAAAGGAATAATATTGAATACTATGACACGTAATATTAGCCATGGTAAATAATGTTATCTTCACTGAACGTTTATCAGCTGTCGTGGTAACAATGGTAACGTTTTATGTAATTCGAATACAATAAA